AAAAAAAAACTCAAAACTATAAATATTGGCATGGACATGGAGAAAGGGGAACACTTCTGCCCTGCTGGTAGGAATGCAAACTAATACGTTCCCTTTAGAAAGAAGTTCGGAGAACACTCAGAGATCTAATAATAGACCTGCCATTTGATCCTGCAATTCCTCTACTAGGAGTATATCCAAAAGACCAAAAATCAGTTTTCAACAAAGATATTTGCACCAGATTATTCACTGAAGCTCAATTCATAACTGCCAAGTCATGGAAGAAGCCCAAGTGTCCATCGACCTATGAATGGATTAATAAATTGTGGTACATGTATATCATGGAATACTATGCAGCCTTAAAAAAGAGACTTTACCTCTTTTATGTTTACATGTATGGAGCTGGAGTAAAGTACCTCAAGAATGGACGAGAAATTATCCAATGTACTCAGGACTTTTATGAAACCAATTTATATTTACTCACACTTTCTTATGAAAGAGAGATCACTATGATAGCCCAGGATGAAGGAGAGAAATGGAGGGGGAAGGGAGAGGAGGGGAAAGGTTTGATAGAGGAAGGGTAAATGGTGGGACCACACCTATGGAGCATATTGCAAGGGTACAAGTCAAATCTATCAAGTATAGCACATAAATATCTTAACACAATAATCAAGTAAATGAGGTGAAAGCTATATTAATTAGTTTGATGTAAGCACTCCAAATTGCATAAAAAATCAACACATTGTGCCCCACAAATGCATAAGCGTATTCATGATCTATGTGTATATGACTTAATAAAAGGAAAAAAAGAAAAAAGGGTAGGAGAGGGAGCAGGCCAGACCCGGGGCTGGGCAGGGCAGGGGCATCATGGGGCACCCAGGTCCAGGGCTCCACAGCCAGCCCCAAGGCCACACCTCTCCCCACACCTTGGGATCTTTTGGCCAGTGCACAAAGCTCTCCCTGTCCCCTAGGACCTGGGTGTTTGTGGAACGCCCTGGAGTGGATTGGGCATTTTTCTTCATGGTTACACCAGGGTCGGGGTCAGGGAGGGACCAGCCCATCCAGGCTCATGCTGCCCACTGCCTGAGGGCTGGGGCTGACCTCATTTCCCCCACTCTGAAGACTGTCCTGTCCATGCTGCATCCGGGAGGAGGTCACACGGGCAGCCTACACTTAACGGGGTGGGGAGAGGGTCTCCGCAAATGGCCCAGAAACTCCCCTCTGACTGACACATCCAATACCTTACCTCTGCTGGCTCTGGCTTCTCAGGGGCATATTCAGTAGTGGGTTATGTCCCCATTCAACCTGACTGTGCAGCTTACTGCCTCCCCCAAAGGCCTGTGTAGACCCTACCTTTACCCGTGGTTGCATTCATTTAGTATAATTACAGATTCCTATTTTAATAAAGCCTCCCACAGAGGCCCCACGTAGGGGTCAGTGAGGCCCCAGTCCTCTCTGCATCCCCAGGACAGCTCCATATCACCCATTTGTGCTGCTAAGGCACAAAAATCAAATGACTTTTTCAAAAATTTGTTGTCACAGAAAAGTGGCATTTCATAACACTTGGAGAAGTGATCTTGGGATCAGACCCTATCTCCCAAATGCCCCCAAGGCCCCACTTGCACACCTCACAACAGGGAGCTCATCCTTGCCCGGGTGCTGTCTGTTCCCACACTCCGCCCCCCACCATGACCTCCCCTCTCCTCCTGGCACCAAGAACCAGACCCTCCAGGCAGAGGCCACAGAAAGCAGCAAATGCCCTGGTGTCTTGAGCCAGGCTGGGTAGCAAGACCAGTGGGGCCAGCCTCACTACCCCTCCCTTTCCTGCCCAGCCTGTTTCCGGGGCACAGCTGGGTTCCAGGGGCATGTTGACAAAGAGCCCCAAGGGCGGATGCAGCCTCCTGGGCGGGCAGCTGTGGTCTGAGGACCCTGCCCACTGGAAACCACAGCAGCAGAGGAGAGGAGAGAAGGGGAGAAGAGGGGAGAGGCTCTACCATGGGGCCTCGAAGTCGAGTCAGGGCTGCCAAATGCCAGATGCTGGTCACAAGTTTTTTCGTCTTGGTAATGAGTGGGCTGGGCATGGGGTGGGCAGGGCAGGGGTGAGGACCTGGGGGGAGGGTTGTCTCCAGGCCACCGTCACTGTGGTCACTCCTCCCTAAACGCATACCAGCCTCACTGTCCCCATCTGGCTCCAGCAGACACACGCCCAGGGTTCCTGGTGGCAGGCAGTGGCCATTTGGACAGAATGGCCCTGTGGGCAGCATCTGTCCTCCCGCGATCAGCACAGGTCCTGGAGGAGGCTGAGCTAGGCCAGGGCCTTGCTGGCTGGTGAGCTGGGGTGGAAGGCACTGTCCGCAGGGCTCTGGGGCCCTCTTCCTGGCCTGGAGGGTGCTGTTACAGGCTGGGGACAGACAGTAGTGAATGTGTGACAGTGTGCTTGTCCGTGAGTCTGCACATGTGTGTGCATGTGGAGTAGGGGGCGTCTGGGGCCCATGTCAGCCTGCGTCCCCCTGAGTCTGTCCCATCCACAGCTGCTGGGTCTATCTTTGGCCACCATGGCAGTTATCATGTACTTCGGGGCCCACTCCACTGTCATTAGCCGCACCTCCTTGGAGAGTAACCCATACAAGGCTACACACTGCTGGGGTAAGTGAGGTCCTGGCGCAGTGCTGGGGAGGGCCTGGTGGGGCAGGGTCTGCACACTGTGGTTCCTGGGCAGGACCCAGGGGTAGTTGGGACCAGGAAGAGCTGCCAAGGGATCCTGGCTCCATGGGGCAGTCTGGGGGACCTGCTTGGTGCTCCTGCCCTGGGCCTCTGCCCCAGAGAGCTGTGGGGACAGCAAGGGTGTGTCTGGTGGGGTCAGCAGTCCCAGGCAGGGGGTCTATGAAAAGGGCTGCTGAACTCTCAGAGAGGACAGGGGTGGCGAGGGAAAGCCAGGCCTGCTGGGGTCACTCAGCAAGAGCAAAGAAGAGGTGCTGGAGCTGGAGGCCTGCTGGAGCCTCAGACAGGAGCTCAGGGAGGCCTGGGGGTGGGGGGAGTGTGGGGAAGTTTTGGCCCAGGGTCGGACTGGTGGACCCAGCCCTTAGGGGCCCTGCTGCTTTGGGGCTCTGCTGCTTTAGGACCCACTCTTTTTCCCCAATTCTCCCCAATCCCAGGGTCTGGACTGATAAGATTACAGCCGAACAGGCCACTGTCACTGGAGATTGGGGCCTGTGGCTTCAAAGATAGCCCTGGAGGCAAAGAAGGCAGTGGGGAAGGAGGGGGTCTCCTCTCTCTTCCTCCACTCATGTCCTCCAAGCAGCACAGGAAGGAGGTTGGGGCACCCTGTGTCCAATCGGGGAAGTGGCTGATTTAGACATCCCAAAAGTCCAGGGCCACTTGTGATGCCTGAGTGGGGTTTCAGACCCTGTCAAGGATGCTGCAGCCTTCTTCCTCTCCTTATTGACAGCCTTCTACACAGGAATGAGCCTGGCAGGCCTCCTGACCCTGGGGGCCACCCTGAGTGCTGCAGCCACTGTGAGAGAGGCCCAGGGCCTCATGGCCGGGGTGAGTCTTCTGTACCCCCAGGAAGTGACGGAGTCCCAGCAGGACTGGGAGCCTGGGAGCCTGTATGACATCACCCCTGAAGTGCCCAGACAGAAACACAGGCCTAAGGATGTGGCCAGTCTGGGCCCGCACCCTGGCCCTACCTCACCCCAACATCCACTCACCCCACAGGGCTTTCTATGAGTCCTGAGAGGGAGAGCTGCTCTCCCAGCTCTGGAAGCCACTTCCAAGCCCTGGGATGGTCTGGGATGGGGCCTCAGTGGACTATGGTGATCCCAACCCAGACAAGGGAAAGCCCCCTTTACCAGACTTCCCAGCCAGGCTCCCTCCTAAGCTCCACATGGCCTCCCTGCTACAAGGTCCCACAGGCTCCTGGACCTCAGTCCCATAGAAGTGGCCCTCGTGGCCCATACACCAACCGTCCACCTGGGCTCCATCTCGGCTCCTGCCAGCCCTCCTTGGCCACACAAACCCAATAGGCCTGCCCCCCAGAGCCCCTCTGACCAGCCCCTGCCCTCTACCCTGAGTAGGGCAGCCTCCTGGGCTTCCTTCTGACCCTCAGCCTCCCACCCTCCTTTCTAGCCATGAGGTCCCCTCTCTCTTGCCTCCAACCCTCTCCTTGGTAAATGGAGACCTTCTCCTTGTGTCCCCTACATGCCCCTGAATCCCTGTATCCTCTGTGCCCCCTCCACCCCTGTGTCCCCTCCATACTAGTGTCCCTGTGCCCCTCC